ATACAGATTAAAGTGACATTTAAAGTCTTAACTTGGTTAATTAGGTAAACTAGCCAGGTTAGGGTAATAAGGCAAGTTATTGAAAAATTATGTTTTGTTCTGTAGACTATATAATATCTAAACTCTAAAAATATAAATAGCTTAAAGGGGCTAATAATTTTGACCTTAAATGATAAACGCTAAACATAAATGGTTTTTAAAAAAATTTAAAACTGCTTTTATTCTAGCTGAAATAAAACAAATAAGACTTTATAGAAAAAAAAATACGAAAAATCCTATCAGGCATACTGTGAAATTTCCTTGCTCTGTTAAACAGAATTTGGGAAATATTTAAAAAAAGAAAAAAAAAATCAAAGGGGGGCTTATAGTTTTGACTTCATTTGTCACATACACATATGTTCTTATTTAATGATCATTAAATAAAATTAAATATTTGAGACTTTTTTTGGTCATGTATGTAATAATAGATATTAAAAAATACCATTGAAATTACTTTTTAAAGAAGTCATAAAATATAAACATTTTAACATAATGTAATTGACTTTTAATGAACGGAGGATTAACAATTTTCTCACAACGGATGTTCAGTAAGCTGTATTTTAATACATTTGCACTTTTCCCCAGGGGGATTTAATTTATTTATAATATAACACTTTCAATGGCAATGTGTATAGAAAATATAGATATAACTCTTTATTCGTGAATACATCTCTGTGATCCTGACTTTATTGAAACTACATTGTGGATCGATAATTATTTTAGGGTATTATTTGTTTTTTTTCTGTTAGAGTTTGATAGGGTACTGCTGAGTCCTGACATGATGGTCAGACGGGATAATCTGGAGAGACCATCAGATTAGACTGCATTAAATGGCTTGACAAATCATTAACACTTAAAAAAAATTAAACATCAATTTATTATTTTTAATTAATATATTTACTAACATGAACTATGAAGTATATAAACAATCGTGTACAGTGTTTATTAATTATAATTCAACATTTACAAATGTATTAATATAGGGATAGTTTGCCCAAAAATGAAAATGTACTCATTTGCTCTCCTTCGAATAGTTCCAAACCTTCATGAGTTTTTTTTTTAGTTAAACAGATAAAAACAATATTTTGAAAGCTGAAAACCTGTAACCATTGACTCCCAGTAGGAAAAATAAAAATACTATGTAAGTCAATGGTTACAGGTTTCCAACATTCTTCAGAATATCTTCTTTATTGTTTGACAAAATAACTAAACTCATAAAAGTTTAAAACAAGTAAATAATGAGTCAATGATGACAGAACTTTCATTTTTTGGGTGAATTACCCCTTAAAAATGCAAAGTTGTGCTTGGGAACATTAGTTAATGCAATTTGAGTTAACAGGAACTAATATCGAACAACTTTATTTTATTTTCATTACCTGTCATTAATAAAAATAAAATTCACAATCAGTAAACACTAACAAGAACCAATAGACACATTTTTTTAAAGTCTTACCGACAAATCAGACATTTCTTGTTTTGCAGAGAACATCACCTCAATTTGCAGTGAAATTGTTGAGCGTGTTTGATGAAATTCCTAATGTCACTGAATCAATCCATGTGTCATGCTGAGCATGCCTAACTGCTACAGCACTGACCTTGATTAAGCAGAGCAGGGAAGGAGTGTTTTCTTGACCCGGTGTAGCACCTGCCTCAGGGGTGTCATCCTCGCTGTTCGTCTGCATCAGAACACTCCTCTTCAGGTAAACAGGACACACTGCAGGCTGGAGTGTGTGTGTTAGTGTGTGTTTCCGTAGGGGTGGGAATAGGACATTTGCTCAGCACGCCACTGCCTGCAGCCTGGCAGGAGAAGCTGTGTGTCTGCAGTGCTGCTGTCTTTTACCTTCCTTTCTCGTATGCTTTCTGAGGGCTGGATACAAGGGAGAGGATAAGGAAATGAGAAACGCAATGATTCAGATTTGTTCAATTGTACATTTATACATTGTTTGTCCGGTATATTTTTGCATTGCAATTAAGGAACATATGGTGGTAAAACACTTGAGGTGTGAAAATAGACTTTTAACTTGGTGTAAATGATTTGTTTTGTTCCTAAGTTTTTAGTTTCAAATGTTCATTGTGTGGGATTGTTTTTCTACTTTTAATTTATCACCATTTATACTTATTTTAAATCCATTTCAGATCGGGTCTGTTATTGGAAAGTTCAAATATTAAATGTAGTCTTTAAATAAATAATTTGCGCAATATATAAATTCAGCATCAAAATCGCAATGTGTGTGTTCACAATAGTCACATCGCAGGATATGCAGTGTTGCATTTGGATTACTCTTGATCAGCACCACAGAATGCATGAGATTTATGGAGTCCAAAGTTTAACGAAAACATAGTGGAAGTTTGTCATTTGGATGTGTTTTAAAGGCATTTCAAAAGAGTTTAAAGCATTCTGGCACAAAAAATTACATTTGCAACTTTACTAAACAATAATTCTACAGAATTATTGAAGTCTATACAATGTTATATATGCATACAGTGTTATATATACATTTCACATTACATTGGATTTATCAATTTCTGTACCTGAGTACAGTTTGACTCTGGAAAACCAAAGAGAAGTTGATTTGACATTTTTCTTTGCTTTATTGTATTTATTTTTGCTCGCAATTTGTTTGTTATTATTATTATTATTTTATCTGTGATTCAGTTTACTACAAAATGAGCACAATCAATCTAAATTCAAGATTTCTTTCTAAAATAGTGCTAATAAACCATCTGGTGAAATTTTATTCATATCGCAATTTATTTTGCAGAAACACAAAATATTGCACTTTCAGATTATTTTCAATATTGTGCAGCCCTAGATTGTACTATTGGAGAATTTTTTTTTAAAATGTAATTTTTAATGTATGATTGCACATCATTGTATAATTCAACATCTGTGGGATCACATGTAATTGCATATCTGGTGCTATCTTACAAAATTCAAACAAATGTACATTTCAGAAGAATTTTTTTTAAATATTACAATTATAATACACCCCAATACAATTGAATTATAATGTTTACTTTAGGTTTTTTGTTCCTGTCAATAAGATACTATTTTCCTTTAAGTGCCGTATTTTTTTAATAAATGAAAATATTTATTCTACTATATTTCATCATAAAACTTTTGATAATTTTTATGACCATAAGTGACACAGTGAGAAATATATGTTTTTAAATGATTTTTTTTTCTAGTTGCAAATAAAACACCATCAGATTAGAGAAAATACTTTTAATTGTCAAAATATGCTTTCATTACCACTGATAGAGAGAGAGAGAGAGAGATCATCAGGATTACACATTCTTTTGAAAAAGGAAGTACAACAAAACGTTCAATCTATAGTTGTATGTATTTCAGTGGGGGTTCTAGTTTAAATGGCACCCTGGGCCAAACCACCTTATTTTAAACCTCTTTATTCATTCATTCATTCATTTTATTTTTGGCTTAGTCCCTTTATTTATCTGGGGTTGCCACAGCGGAATGAACCGGCAACTTATCCAGCACGTTTTTACACAGCAGATGCCCTTCTAGCCGCAACCCATCACTGGGAAACATCCATCCATACTCATTCACACACATACATTACAATTTAGCTTACCCAATTCAACTGTACCACATGTCTTTGGACTTGTGGGGGAAAGCGCAGCACCTGGAGGAAACTCACGCGAATGCAGGGAGAACATGCAAACTCTACTCAGAAATGCCAACTGACCCAGCTGAGGCTTGACCCAGCGACCTTGCTGTGAGGTGACAGCACTACCTACTGTGCCACTGCATCGTCCTAAACCACATTTTATATTTAAAATATTGAAACATGTGTTTTAAGTATATAAATTTAAATATATTTATTAATTTTCAATAAATATAACAATTTGTTATTATTATTATTATACAATAATATTCTAAATAAAAAAAAGAAGTCAATCCCTAATGTAACTGAAAAACTATGTAAAGGCACAACTGGAGTAGTAAAAATTAGACTTTTACATGAATATTAATTATGACAGCTCTATAGAATTCAAAAAAATGTACTCGACTCATGGCCGACACCTAATGTTTATAAAGTCTTAGTTACCTCCCTGATTCATTATTCCTCCTTTCTGCTTCAAAGCCATGCTTAGCCAAAGTAACATCATCATCATCATAAGATATAAACTTTAGTTTTGTCAACTTGCATGTCGACGCATATGGGTGTGCTTGTAAACAACCGAGATCAGGAGCAGCATGTGTGAGGCGCGTTGGAATAGCTTTCTGCGCACATGCGTCAATTTGTTTTTACCAGCGTTGTTTCAGTTGCACATAAAGAATAACAAATTGGCGTGTGCAAAAGACGCCAAATGTGAATGGCCACAAACGTTTTTATTCTGGGATCACCACTCTAATTTAATACACTTGCATCAAGTAAATCTTATCACAAAGCTTTTACTGGGGCGCTTTTTTTTTTTTGCACCATCTCCCCAATGCCGCCCCCAGCAAGATGCTGCCCTGGGGGATCGCTCATATTGCCCATGCCTAAATCCACCACGGATGAAGTTAAAAAAACTTTAAATGAAAAGAAAAATAATGGTTTCCAGACATGTTTCCCAAGCAATCCTGGACGTCAGCCTTACTTATATATTTTTCATGCATATTAAACTAGATTTGTTTTATTTATTCATTCATTTTCCTTTGGCTTAGTCTCTTTATTTATCAGGGGTTGCCACAGCGGAAGGAACCGCCAACTTATCCAGCAGTGGATACCCTTCCATCTGCAACCCAGCACTGAAAAATTCCGATACACTCTCACATTTACACACATAAACTATGGCCAGTTTAGTTTATTCAATTCAGCTATAGCGCACGAACCTGCGACAGTCCTATCCACTAAGCCACCGTACCGCACTTAAACTAGATTTTTATATATACCTTTGGAAAATATAAGTTTTGAAAGTAAATGTATTTATGTTATATTTTTGGTTTGTTACAGACTACCTGGGCAAAGGAAGAACAGTGTGGAGGCTCCAAAGTGAAGCTCTATATTCGACAGACGGAAAGTTGACACATCAGCGTGAAGGGCAGAACTACAGCCATAAACATAAACACTTCAACAGTCACACAGCTGCTTTCAACCTGCCAGTCATTCCGTATCACCACACTTTAACATCTCACATGCAAGAGTGTGCTATTTAGCAGCAGCAGACAAACATCAGAAAACAGAAACTATCAGTATTACAACCTCACCATCTTTATATATCCTTCATATCTGCACTCACACACCAAACACCCGGCTCTGACCCACGCACTTCTCTCTCATGGGAGTAACATAGAGACACACTCCGCTTGCATTGACTCATACAGACACACAACACACACAGTCGGTGGTCTCCACTGTTCAGGATGTCCTCCTCTTCCTCCAGCATGATTAGCTGGGGAAGGACGAGGCTCTTATGGTGATTGGAGGGGGGCAGAGGAGCCCGATCTGGACCCATGTCGTGGAAGAGGAACTACTTTGCGTCAGGCAGCGGCGGCGGCAGCCTGCAGGGGATGTTCACCCCACGCAACATGACCTCCATCGCTCCCAGCAAAGGCCTGAGCAATGAGCCGGGCCAGAACAGCTGCTTTCTGAACAGCGCGCTACAGGTAAGCGGGACAGTTGTCTTTATATAGTAATTGTGGATTTGTGTGGGATGCTGTATTCAGTGGATGCTGTGCAAACAAGGGTTTAGATTTAGTGTTTTTGAATGGTTAGCAAAGCTGAGGGCTCGTAATATTATTATGAACTGCAACACTATGATAATAACATGCATTATGTGTTTGTTAGTCATAGAAAAGCTGTTTTTTAGTTTAAAGAGCAATAATAAAAAAACGTTAAAAAAAATTGTTTAGAAATCAAGTCATTGAAAAATCAAGTAATTCTAATGTGCTGATTTGTTGCTAAGGAAACGTTCAATGTTGAAAATGGTTGCTAGTTAATTATATATTATATTATATTATATTATATTATATTATATTATATTATATTATATTATATTATATTGTATTGTATTATATTATATTATATTATATTATATTATATTATATTATATTATATTATATTATATTATATTATATTATATTATATTATATTATTTTATATTATATTATATTAAATTGTTTTATATTTTCCTTTCTGGAGTAAAATTAGGAATTGTTAGTTTCCTCTACAATCATATGTATAAGTATTTTATCCTCATTGGCCACTTTATTAGGTACACATTATTAGTACCGGGTTGGATCCCATTTTGTCTTTAGAACTGCTTTAATCCTTCGTGGCATAGATTCAACAAGGTACTGGAAGTCTTCCTCAGAGATTTTGGTCCATATTGACGTGATAGCATCATTAAGTTGCTGCAGTTTTGTCGGCTGCACATCCATGATGCTAATCTCCCATTCCACCACATCCCAAAGGTGCTCTTTTGAATTAAGATCTGGTGACTGTGAAGGACATTTGAGTACAGTGAACTCATTGTCATGTTTATGAAACCAGTCTAAGATGATTAACTCTTTATTACATGGCGCGTTATCCTGCTGGAAGTAGCCATTAGAAGATGGGTACACTGTGGTCATAAAGGGATGGACTTGCTTAGCAACAATACTCAGGTAGGCTGTAGCATTGACACCATGCTCAGTTGGTTCTAATGGGCCCAAAGTGTGCTAATAAATATGCCCCACACCATTACACCACCCCCACCAAGAGCCTGAACCATTGATACAAAGCAGGATGGATCCATGCTTTCATGTTGTTGACGTCAAATTCTGACCCTACCATCCGAATGTCACAGCAGAAATCGAGACTCATCAAACCAGGCAACATTTTTCCAATTTTCTATTGTCCAATTATGGTGAGTCTGTGCAAATTTTAGCCTCACTTTCCTGTTCTTAGCTGACTGGAGTGGCCCCCAGTGTGGTCTAGTGCTGCTGTAGCCCATCCGCCTTAAGGTTCCTGCATACTTCGGTTGTAATGTGGTTACCCGAGTTACTGTTGTGACAACTGAATTAACGAGCAGTTGGACAGGTGTACCTAATAAAGTGGCCGTTGAGTGTATGTGTGTACTTTATGCAGCTAATATGCAACTGCTAATTATTGTAGTAATACTTTAGAATAATAGTCAATAAGTTAATGTATTTACTAACATTATGTAATTATTAGTAATCTTGTAAAGCATTTATCAATCTTAGTTCAACATTAGCTAATGCATTATTAAAATCCAAAGTTGTGCTTGCTAACATTAGTTAACGCAAAGTGATTTAACATGAACTAACATAAACGTTAACAAAGATGAATGAATAAAGCAATAAATGTATTACTAATTGTTTGTGTTAGTGAATACAATAATTAATAGACCATTATTTTAAATATACCATATACCAGTGTGCTTAATATTATTACTATTATTTAGAAAATTGATTAGTATGATAGTACATTTGATTTATATTTGGAGCAAATTTACGATTTGTCTGTAAACAAAGATTTGAATGCCTCGCCGTGTAGACGGTATGATGTAAGTACACTGTCAAGATATATAATGTTCATGGCCTGTAAAAGTTTTACATGACAGTTTTCTCAGATTTACTGGTAGTGCCCGCAAGTTTTTCAGGATTTTCAATGCGTGAACAGCACAGAAAAAAATGTGGTTGTTCATAGAGAAGTTGCTGTGAAGCTGAAGAGTTTTTATCATGCTGGAATTGCTGTTGAGTTCATCTAGAGTGTTATGGATCTCTGTGTGTTTCTCTCTCTCTTTCTCTCTCTTGCTCTTTCTCTCTTGTTCTGTCGTTTTTAATGCTGCTATCTGATGTCACTGTTGGTCTTTTCTGGTCCCAGTTTAGCAGAGCTTTATCTGGGTCTTGCTTGTAGGCTGTCCTCACTTACACCAATGTGTCTGGCCAAACAGTCTGTCGGCTCATAAATTAAACATCCTACTCTGTTACCTACACCCAACATAGCCTTGAGTGTGCTTCTCTAAAAGCAATCTGACTGCTTTCTTTCGAGATGTTCAAGCTGATTAGTTTATAATAGACTACAACAGATCTTTATTCATTCTTTTAAGTCTGTTACGTAGTTCAAGGCTACATTTATATGCTAGAAAAAGAAAGTTTTCTGTTTTAATGTAATTTTTAATTTGATTAATTTTTGAGTAAGTTAATTCTGAAATTGCAGCACAATGTCTCAATGCTTAGCACGGTCACCTCACAGCAAGAAGGTTGCTGGTCCGAGTCCTGGCTGGGGCAGTTAGCATATCTATGTGGAGTTTGCATGTTCTCCTCGTGTTAACGTAGGGGATTCCTCTGGGTGCTCTGGTTTCCCTCACAATCCAAAGACATGCGCTATAGGTGAATTGGATGAACTAAATTGGCTGTAGTGTATTAGTTTGTTCAAATGACTGAGTGCATAGGTGTTTCTCAGTTCTGGGTTGCAGCTGGTAGGGCATCGTCTTTGTAAAATATATGCTGATTTTTTTGATAAGTAGATTTTTGTTGTTGTTGTGAAAACCAATATACAGTCATGTGAAAAAATGGGACACCCTATGAAAGCCTGGGTATTTTGTAAGTTTTTTTTTTATATATATATGGTTGTTTAATCTCAATTCTACCAACGCAGAAAGATTAAGGTAATATCCATAAACAATTAAAACTGAAAAAATGTAAATGTAATTGTACAAAAATGCATATTCTAACTGAGGAAAATTTAGGACACCACACCCCTTAATAGCTAGTGTTACCTTCTTTAGCTGAAATAACTGCAGTGAGATGTTTGTTTAGCCATCCATCAGTCTTTGACATCAGTATGAGGAAAGTGTAGCCCCCTCTTCAACGCAGAATTCTTTTCGCTGTGAGATGTTTGAGAGCTTTCGTACATGTACAGCATGTTTCAAGTCTCCCCACAGCATCTCAAAGGGATTAAAATTTGGGCTTTGACTTTGCCATTCCAGGTCTCTCCATTTCTTAGTTTTCAGCCAGTCCATGATTATGTACTGGTATGTTTTGGGTCATTGTTGTGTTGCTTGGTCCAGTTTTGTTTCAGCTTTAGTTTTCAGACAGATGGTCTCATGTTCCTCAAGCACCCTCTGATACACTGAAGAATTCATAGTGGATTCCATTATGGTGAGCTGACAAGGTGACCTCTGTACTTCACAGCTTGCATGAGGTTCTTTTCCTGGAATGCTGTCTTTGGTTCACGCCAAACGTGTTGTCAGTTCTGATGTCCAAACATTTCAATTTTGGACTCATCTATACAAAGAACATTATTCCAGAAGCCCTGGTCTTTGTCAATATTTTCACTAGCAAATTTCAGTCTGGCCTTGATGATTTTCCTACAAAGCAAAGGTTTCGTCCTTGCACACCTCCCATGCAAGTTAATCTTGTCTCTTTTTGATGGTAGAGGCATGCACTTTCAAATCAACAGTAGCCAAAGCCTACTTTAAGCCCTTGTAAAGACATTTTAGGGTTTTTGGAGACCTCTTTTAGCATCTTGCGGTCAGCTCTCAGAGTAAACTTGCTGGGACGACCAGACCTGGGCTTGTTGACAGTTGTTCTGAAAGCCGTGCACTTGTAGATTATTTTGCAGACAGTGGAATTGCTCATTTCAAAATCTTTTGAGATCTTTTCAAATCCTTTACAAGACTTGTAGGCTGCTACAATTTGTTTTCTGAAGGCCTCAGACAGCTCTTTTGCTCTCACCACGATGGTGCTCATTCTCACTTCAACAGTCAGAAGCACACCAAAATAAATTTCAGAGGTTTAGAAAGGGCAAGCCTCATTTAAAATAATGAGTAACGATATACTAATAACGAGCACCTGTTGTGGTACACCTGTCTGTAATTTGAGCCATTTTAAAGCTGCGGCCACACTAGACTTTTCACCCCATAGACTTCCATTCATACTCACGTGAATATATTGGACCAAAAATGCAAGCTCATGCCACAAGTTTCGCAGTTCATTGCAGTGCAAAGTTCAAGCTTGTTGAACTCTGACATGTGACTGCGTAAGACCAATCGAACATCAAAACATGACCTCTCTGTTCAGAAATTTTAAATATGGAGCAATCGTTCACTTTTTAAAATGTCTAATCATCTAGTTTGATCCCACCACTTTTTGCAGCGCCTACTACAGAACTTGTCATGCTCAAACTCGAATGTGACTGCAGCATGAGTGTGAATAAATGTGTGGTGTCCTAACTTTTACCTCAGTTAGAATATGCATTTGGGGTTGGGGTTAATTGTTTAGTTAGTATATTACAGTGCCTTAATCTTTCAGCATTGTTAAAATTCTGCTTTAAAAACATATATTAAAGAAACATTACAAAATACCCAGGCTTTAGGGTGTCCTCATTTTTTCACATGACTGTACGTCTTCATTTAATATGTGAGAAATGCAGTGGACATCAAAATTAGAGAACAGCTAGTATCGTGATATCAGTACAAAAATATTAAGTAGCTAAAACCTTCAAATGTTTCACTAATTATTAATAAAAACCATTATCAATAATTGAGCACCAATAGCACTTGATAATTGAGCCGCAAATGAATATTAGAATGACTTCCGTAGTGTGCCCTTAGAGAAAGTGAGAAAAAACGAAAAGGGTGAAGAAAAAAAGTTATCGA